CATTAAGTGACCAAAAGTTGCGTTATAAAAACGCACAGAGAAAAGAGGAAAGTGAAAACAAAAGACAGCTATAAAGTCCAATTTAATTGAACTAAACCAACGGTTACAACGGTCATGAGCATAACCACCAGGAGATTAAATCGGACTGCTAATCTGGTATATTTTGTCGAAACAATAAAAATAACCTAAAACAAAGTTACGATTACTTTGTAAAGATTTAGAGAACCAAAGTTTACTTAAGCTGAATTCATCACCATAAATAACGCAAATCGAATGGGACGCTGATCATCGAAGATGGCAAATTCTTCTTCACCTAAGGTTAAGGGATGAACCATCTATTATTTTGTAATTAATCACCTGAAGTTTTCGAAGTAATGGCCCTCAATTTACAGTTTTTTCTCTAAGCTACAGTTAAAGGGCGGTAGTCATGGCATCACAGTTTTAGATGTCTGAGGACCAGGAAACTACGCATATTATGGGTTCCCCGTAGGTAGATTAAACAAGTGTTGCCTAAATAGTTAGTCACAAATAATAGAAAAGCACTATTACTATTTGATTGTGATGTAGAAAACAAAGCAATCTTTGAATGTAAAGCTTACTAATCAGGCTAACTATATTACCAGCAAAGAATATATAATCGATGAATTTTAGGCAAGCAGATAAACTGGAATGAATGGGCATAAAAACAGGTAGACTCTCCACCAAAAACTCACACTACATCTTGTAAGTCGATCGGCAACTGTAGTGGAAAAATATTTCATCGAACTTTACTATATCACTAAATGAAAAAGATTTTTATTCAGGTAAATATTTTGAAGAATCTTTATCAGATTCAAGTATGTCAAGGGTAAGAAGAAAAATAATGCTTGAGGGGTTCAGGTTTCGATTTTTTGCCAATAAGTCAATTGATAAAATACTTGGGGATTTGCTAAATCGAGCGAAATACAGTCAAAAATGTCACCTGGATAGAGGAGCAACTGGATCATGAACCATTTTCCCAGGAGGTGAGAGAGCTGCAGTAGCCGCACTATAGCTGTTGTAGTACTGCTGATAAAGCTGAGCGTAGTAGGAAATGACGAGCTGTTGTTCTTGCCGTTGATGTTGTTGAAGTTGTTGCATCTGTTGTCTAGTGGCAGGGAGCTGTGACATCTCTTCATCGTTGCGTTGGCGCTTACGCGAAGTTTCCGAACGCGGTGGAGTTTGCTGGTGTTTTTTTCCACGTCTGCCATCATTAGCTTCTTGACGCCGAATATCTTTGGGCCTTCGAATACGCGATGATGGCGATGAACGTTGACGACTAAGGGATATGTTAGTGCCACTTCCCAAGCCAGTACTGCCAGAAGAGGTGTTACTGATGTTGACATTACTAATGCTAGCATTGCTGTTGGTAGTGGTGTTGTTGTTGTTGCTGTTGCTGAAAGTGATAGAAACACATGGGCCTGGCACCTGTGTCGATACACGTTCGACATGCGAGCGCAGCATCTTCGGTGGTTTTGAAGGTCGATTGGACGAGTTTAAAATGCCGGAGTTACCATCTGAGCGCCTCTTAATCACATAAAGACCAGATTAGAGTTTAGCAGAAACAATATGCAATTGATGAATAAATGAGAAAATTATGTTTATCCTTGCCTCTCAATGTTTTAATGAAACCTCTTATCTTATCATAAATTATGTGAAATATCGGTAAGAAATTGTTCCCAACTATTAAGACAGAGATGAAGTACGAAAATAAGATTCCAATAATGAGGCTAAGGCCAAAGGATGATACTCATAAGTCAAGAAAGAAAAATGTTTAAGGATTAATGCACAAAGGTTACAATCACTAGTTCAGAAATGTTTAAATGCCAGCTGGTTCATAAAAAAAAGATAGAAACTACTCTAACAACATTCAAATACATAAACTAAAAAAGATCTAAAATGAATCAG